CTTGCTCTTCCAAAGGATGGCCGGGCTCCACCTAGCTAAGCTGCCTACCTCATCTTCTAGCAGACTTCCCAGAGCAGAAGATACRATGAAAAAGGGGGCCCTTCAGACGCTAGCAGGGATTTTGCTGTCTTATTTCTAGTCTCCAAGTGCACCTGGGAGAACTGCACCTCGCTCTAGCACATGAGCCTCACCTCCCTCAGCGAGTGGCACTGCAGCTGCTCCATACCCTCTGCCTTCAGCTCCATTCAACTGCCTATGGCAAAAGGAACAAGGTAGGAGACAGGGAAGCAGCATACTCACAGCAGCCAGCAACTTCTCACTGAGCCAGAACTCAAAACAGGTTGGGTAGGGCTGTCTCTGTCTAAAGACAGAGTGCTATAAAGAAGAGTATAAGGGCAGGGTGTGTTTATAGTTTTTTTTTCCTCAAAATGTTCTCCCACTATGCAGCTCAGAAGTCAAGAAGTTCCAGAAGCTGATAAAGAAACGGCTGCAGTTCTGCCATTCTACAGCTTTATGGCCATAGTTGCTATAAAAAGAGAGAGAGAGAGAGAGAGAGAGAGAGAGAGAGAGAGAGAGAGAGAGAGAGAGAGAGAGAGAGAGAGAGAGAGAAGACTACAGCATGAATTAAATTCACATCTGAAGAAGCTCCTATTTTACGCTGTCATTCCACGGAGCAATAAATCCTCTTTCAGAGACTCTAACAATAGTTTAAAAAAAAGAAAAGTCATGCAAGACAAAGCACAGAACTGATACAAGTTCATGCTAAAAAGATTTCAAAGGCTGGAYTTAATTTAGTTTTTTGTACTTCCATAAACAATCTAGCATTTTTTCTTGTGAAGGACAGGAAAATAACACATATTTATCACTATCAGGATAAGAATTGTTGTTAGGTGATCTGATATCAACTAACAGGAAAGCATTACTGTTAAAAAATAAAATACTGGGCAAAGGGACCATAGGAAAAAAAGAAGGTAGAAGAGAAAATGATCAACGACTACCCCAATTTTTACTATTGCTTTCACATGAATTGTCATCCTTCAGTCTAAAGCACATTATCATACCTACTAGTATTTAATGTAAAATGACCCCATATAATACTAAATAATATCTAGAAACACCCATCTTACAAGCTAATGCAGATACTGCCAATATATTTTTTTCAAAGGAGTATTTTCTTCCTCCATCCCCAGATTCATCATTTTAAGATCTTAAGAGTTCTATTTACAACTGAGGCAAAAGCAACACTTAAATGAGCACTGACCAGGGTAGAAGACCCAGGCAAAGTTCAGACATGTTTAACAAGTGAGAATATTAGCAAAGGAATGAGTTTACTTAGAGAAGCTTCTTAAATGTGCATGTTTCATCCTGAGGAGCTTTTTTCTTTCATCCAGCAGTGAGAAACCTCATAGGCTTCTTTTGATTCTTCATTGAGGGCTGCTTCTTCTAGTGCCTATTACAGTGTTACCAATAAATATCATAAGAATATATTTGTATATCCCCCACACCAGTCACAAGATACAGTTACATTTTCTCAAGCTGCATTTTCATGGAGCAACTTACTGTATGCAGAGGAAAACATATTGCACAAGTGTTTTCTTCCCATTGCCCGAGAGTGAGATGCAGAGGCAAAACAGGAAGTAAACACTTCTGCTTAGCTCAGATAATAACAAAAAATGAAAGGGGAAGAGAGAGTAGGGTTTCATTTTTTTTTTTTAATCAACATCGGCCACTGTCACAAAATAAATAAATGAGATAAATGAGACCTTTGGTCTGCTCCAGTATGGCTACTGTACAGTAACTTCAGTAGTGACCCTATGGTTCAACCTACAATTAAAATCAACAAAAAATAAGCTGAAGAACCACTCAGATCCAGGGACATCACATGGGAAAAAGGATAAAAACCTCRATGCTGGCATGGGAGAAACTGAGATCTGGCTTGCTTGGATATCCAGCAGTGCCATCACAGTCTGTCTAACATTCTCCACTGCTTTAGTGTAACTTCAGTCATGGTGAAGAAGGAAGACCAGCCGCCTGCAGTCCTGCTGAACTTGGTGATGATGATACTGGGATGTCAGAGGAAAGTGGCTAAAAATAAGTGGTTGTGGGGAGGAGAAAAAACTCCTGCCCTTCCATTAAATCAGACCAGTTCTTGTTTCATGTTTCCTGTTTGCTGAATCACTCTGCAAGAACRTGAAAGCTGTGTGGAAGGAAAGCACTTTCCCAATGGCCAAGTTTCTCAATCAGGGAAACATTTTGACTTGGCAATTAACAAAGCCTAGTTGGAGAGTCTCCTGTTGAAACTACCAAAGACGGTGACCCAGAAGGTTGTAAGGCTATTTGCAAACACTGGGGACCTACAAAACCTCCAATGCTCAATTGAATCATGATTGTGCAGAGATTTGGACATGTATCCTCAAGTAATTAAAATCAGTGTATTCAGATCTACTGTTCCCCTTGCATCACTCCAGCCAGCAGTTTGCCCCACTCAACAGTTATCCTGTAGAAGCAGCAATGGTTTCATATCTAGGCAAGATGCCCAAAAGGAAACAAAAGATTTTTTTAGTAAGCTTCCCCTTCATGAAGTTTGTACATTATTTACAAAGTGAAACAGAAAAGCCCTAACAACTACATTGCCTTGGGCTTCAACATACCTCAGTGGTTAATATGTTCCTCCTTGTCTGGAAGTTTTGCCAAGGCAGAATGTGAAGGAGAGGTGGAAAAGAGAAAATTCAGCCGCCTGCCCTGACATTCCCCCAGCCACTTCCCTCACTTCCCACCGGCCATTACAGCTGGGTATAACAAAGTGGTACCTACAAGGAGTGTGCAGAAATCCAGTATTATTATTGAATTGGATCCTACATGTGGTTAGATAGGTTCTCATTAAAAAAGTCTTTATTTCTTTTTACTCTGTCCTTAAAGAGGGCGAAGTATAAGTTGTTCCCTATACATTTTTTCTCTCATCTTCTCCGACGGAATACTATATTGAAGAAAAACATGAAGGAAGTATGACAGAAATAATACACTGAAGGAATGCAGTACTTGAGGATACCAACCCCAAGCTTCCATATATCGCATGCCTATTGCAGCTTGATGAGCCATCTGTCTGGGCTCGCAACCCCCTGAAAATATCTTCTGTAACATTCAGCTTTGAATTGCTAAATTTGCTTCTGTAGACAAAATTTAGTCTGGCTAAGTAAAGGGGAAAGACTGCAAGCATCAGACAAGGCTCAGGTAGGGATTAATAAGATATGAGCTGGCTTATTTTTCTACAAGCCACAGCTAGACACCATCACTTGCACATACTTGATAAATGGTAACTATAAGTAAGACTGCTGGAACKGGCACAGTCTCTAAAACAAAGTGCTGATACTAAACAATTCTTCCTTTTATTGAGGGCCTGTGAGATAGCAAAAAGTTCTGGCAGTTCTTCAATGCTGCAAATGATCCCTCTACTTTAGAATCATTAAAAGAGATCCTACCCCAAATTGAATTCCATACAATCTGCTGTCTGCTTAACAGACTGTTTAACAGACTTTAACAGCAACAGCAAGCGAATAGGGAATACCAGCTGCCATGCACACACATCACAAGTTACCAAACTGGCCAGTTCTCAGCGTTTTTATTTCCCCAATAGATACTGCAGGGTATCTACACATCCACACCAACCTGTCTCAGTCAACAAGTTAGCTCAAGTGCTCTTCACCCTCTCCTCACATGCATAAAAAGAGAGGCTTCAGCTGAGCTGTCCTGTGCCCTGCCAAACTCCGCATCAGCTGAGGAGATGCAGCTGGTAGCAACCTGCTTCTGTGCTGCACAGCACACATCTTCACTCCCAGGTGAGGGAAGGGGGAAGAGGGAAGTCCAACACCAACAAATCAAACAAGAGCCTTCCTCTTCAACAACCAAACTCCAAGTACACTGCTCAAGGGCAAGGAATAATATGCTTGAGGAAAAAAGGGAGTGATGAACTTCTCTGGCCTTCAGACCAGACGTTTTAGGACACGGCCTACTTTACTTCTTGAAACAAGCTTTTGGGCTTGCTTGGCTYGCTTTGGTTGCTTGAATCAGACTTTTTTTTCATGAACACTGCAGTCGCTTAAGAAGAATCCCAAGTGGAAAAACCTCTCACTGCTTTCTTCTTGGATGTGACTTTTTTATTCATTCCACCTGACCTCAGGAGACCTTCCCCAGCCTTAGCCAGTTGACAGCCTCTGAGCAAACCTTGTGTTCAAGCACCAGTGCTAATAAAAAGACCATTCATCTAACTAATACATGGAGGTTTTAACGATGAATCAACCTACCCTGGARAGACACACAAGTATTTTTTGTCAAGACACAACCTGGCACTAAGGAAGATGATCACATACACACTTTAATGCAGAGGTACAAATTGCAGCGTAGATAGAAGCTAGCCATAAAAAAAATCATGCCCGAGAAGCTGGAGTAGAAGAACTTCACTACAGCTTCGTACACCAGGTGTGGTTTATCCTGTCTCCGCATCCACCCTTGGCTTCCCCCATCCTGCCCTTTGGCAGCAGCCCCCCGGGGTGGCGGTGCCAGCAGCACCTTCTCCTATCGCAGCTCTGCGGTCCTATCGAGCTGTGCAGATACTTAGTCACGCAGCACCACGGCTGCCTTTTTTTTTTTTTTCTCTCCTTTTTTCCTTCTCTTCTGGACAGATGACCCTAACCTGCTCGGAAAGTTGTCTCACGCCGAGTTTGCATCGCGCAGGGCGCTGGAGATGCGACCCGAGGCTCCCCCGCGCCGCCACGGCTGCCAGGAGCAGCACGCGGGGGAAAGAGGGGCTGGCGCGCGGCTCGAGGGGGACAAGCGGTGCTAAAAACACCCTCGAGCCCCGTGGGAAGGARGGGGCCGCCCGAGGCAGGCAGGGCGAGGAGAAACGATGGCGCGCGAGGGGGCGATGAAGTTTTGCGGGCCCCCCACACGGCGCTGCGGGCAGGGGCGGCAGGCGGGGCGGCCCGCGCTGCCCCCGCGCCTACCTTGTTGAGGTGGGGGTCGCGCAGCACCTCGTAGCCCCGCTTCATGGTGAGCTGCAGGCGCCCGCCGCCCGCCGCCGCCTTCCCCGCCTGCATGGCGACGCTCGCTGCCGTCAGGTGCCCGCCGAGGCAACGCGGCGGCGGCGGCGGCGGCTCCTCCTGCCGAGGTGACCGCCCGGCGGGGTGGGATGATCCTGCCGGGAGGGAGGAGGCAGAGCCGGCACCGCCGAGACCGCGGTCACCGGCGCCGCTGAGTCAGGGGGCGGCGCGCAGGTGCGGGGGGCGGCCCCGCGGCGCGGCCGTTAACGGCCTGGAGCGGCCGTTAGCGCCCGGCCGCGGCCGTTACGGCCTGGAGCGGCCGTTAACGGCCTGGGCGCCGCGTGAGGGCCGGGCCGCGGCTCCGCGTCGCACTGAGCTCATGCCCCGCTTTCACCGTGTGTCTTTATCCCTCCTTCCACCCTCTGTGCCAGGGGGAAACGCACCTAATAATAACAATAATAACAATAATAATCCTCTCGAGGAAGAGCATGCTGGCGCTTCACCCCCTTCACAYTTAATTTCAGGCACGACCCTGTGCTCTGCTGTCTGTGGGAAATAAAGWGCAATCCCCACCGCTTCACACCTAAAAAACCCCATGATTCTGATAGAGCTGCTGGGTGCGAGAGGCCGGTCCAGCACGTTCAGGTGGGGCCCGGAGCCCGCCTGGCAGAGCCAACCGTGGCCATRTCAAAACCTTGCGGCTGCTTTATCTCCTAACCCGTAATCTGTGGCTCTGGCGCTCGTTCTGCTTCCTCGTGCTGTGCTGAAGGAGGCTTCCTCAAATCCGGCCTTTCCTGAAAGGGTTGTTCAGTAGCATGAAAAAGTTCATTTGGGGTTAATTAAAGAAGGGGAGTTGGAAGGGTTTCAAGTGTATATTTCTAGAAACTCGATTAGCAAGTCAGCGGAAAAATTAGTAAATAAATCTCCCCCTCTGTCCGCCACTATAGCAAGTATCTGGAAAAGCAGTATTAGGAAAAACTTCCAAATAAAGTGTTGCCCCGTCASAGCCTGTGTCCCAGTGATTATCCAGGTGTCCTCAACTTTGTCCAGGATAGCTGACTGTCCCACTACACAAGCCCTGAAGTTTACGTAAAGTAAAGGATAGGGATATCAAGGTAGCAATTTGGTCTTTTCACAACAAAAGTAAAAAACTCAAAGCAAACTGGAAGCATTACCTTTTTTTTTTTTTTTTTTTTTTTCCTTTTTTCTTTCTTTTTCCTTTGTGGGTTGCATTTAACTACTACTGATAAAAAAATAACCTGAGTGCTGTACTTTCATCCAAGTGAGAGCAATGTGTACTGATGTAATTTTTATCTTAAGTGTTGCAACACTCTCTATAAAAGAAAACAGACAAATTCAGATTTGTGTCAAAAGTCATAGAAATTACCATGAATTCCTGTTGCGAGGTCAGCCAAGTAGCTTCTTAGGCACTGACCCCTGCTGAGGACGTGCCCTGACTTGCCTTGCTCCTGTTACTAAACATATTGGTTAAAATGACTAATTTAGGTAAAGTCAATTTGGGGATTATTTTACGTAATCAGGCTGCAGAAAGAGTTTAATGTGTTAGCTTATATACCAAAGACAACAAATTTCCTCCCCATCTTCCCAAAATAGATTTTAYGTTTGTTATGTTTGAACACTAATTAAAAATCAGGATCACAACTATCTATTATGGTAACTGTGTAAAATGTAAAAATGCCTGTATTATGGGCAAGGACCTTGACAGATTAAAAAATAAATAAATAAAAAAGCAGAATATTGGTCCCTGTCAGCTGCAGAAATCTTTCAGTTGAGGCCTCAAACGTATTAGCTTAAGACAGAATTAGTAGGGCTTAGCAGAGYTTATAGCCTTGTGTGAGTTTTGTTGTGCTTTTTGCATCACCTTAGTGGTGTTTGTTTGAGCAAGAGACAGGAGCAGCATCTGCAAGTGGAAAGTCTGATTTAAACTTTTCTGTTCATGTGAAAATGAAGAACTAGTTGCTATCAAATGCTTGCTTGATAATTATCTCTGATAGAGATACAGAATTTTAGAGTGATTATAAACTGACCACGTCGAACACATATTTTTGACCCACAAAAACTGTTCAAAATGGTCAGAGAAACAGTAATACCTGCAACTAGAGGTGGTTGTTCCAAAGGAAGACTGCCTCACACTGCAAAGTTACAGTTGAATCTCTAAGTAAGGCTATAAAGAAAGCCTTTGAAAGTAGCAGATTTATTGTTATAGCTGCTTATGTGAGACAAATATTTTTGCAGCTACATTAGCCGACATTCAGATAAATGAGTAGTGAGYGTCTTGACACTGTCAAAGTGTTTCTGACAGAAAATACGGCTGGTGATTTTGCTTTGCCCTATGCCCTCTGGGCAGGCACCTAATCCTATTTCTCAAGCAACTTTCATGTGGAAGGAGTCACTTTTAAGACGCCTACTCAAGAATTTTCTCATGTCTGCACTTAAAAATTCCTCCCACCTCTCACCCTCACATGTACTATTAAGTGAATCCATTTAAAATTTTACTGGTAAACGTGTGTCAAATCTTCCTGGAATTATCATGGATGTATGAAAAGCTCTATGTGAAATAGTCCTGGGAAGGAAGACAAGAGGCAGCAYTGGAGGTCCTCTGCTTTGCCTTGGAGGCTCAAAGGAAGGTCCTCAAGTTTTCAACCATTCCTGCTGGCAATTCTCAACTAAATTTAACTTATTGTTAAAAAGCTGCAATAAATGAGACCTCACGGCATGGTTTGGCAGCCTAAGAGGAAGGATAAATAAGTACAGAGTCAAAAGAAAGATCTTCCTATTGCTGAAATAGTTATTTAAGATGAGTGATTTACGGTGAGATGGTAAGAGTGGRTCTTGGGAACTGTCCCTGTGTCAGGCTGTGTCTCATAGGGCATTTGGGCCCTGTCAAGGCATGGCCTGAACCACGGCCAAGTCCGGACTCCCATCTCCTGCAGTGGAACGGGGAGAGGTTCATTTGCAGGGCTGCAGGTTTAGAGGAAGGGAAATTCAGCAGCCGTGTGGAAATAGCCCATTGACTCCATGTATTTTACRTCCAACTTGCCCATATCAAGACCTTCTTACCGTCTGACGTGGGAACACATGGAAGTTCCCTCCTCCTTGCGGCCACCTCACRTTTTTAAAGACACCTCATGCCTGCCCTGGGACCTTCTCGTACCACCAACCTCCCCATCTCTCCATCTCCTCTCACACTTCACGTTTTCTGCTCCTGACCACCCTTATCACGCTCCTGCCACGCTGCTGGATGCTCCATAAGGGTCAGAGCACTCCAGCCGCGACCTCACCAGCTCCGGACCATCCGAGTGCTTTACTGCACTTGTTTTACCAGCGGCAATTCTGTTTGCACTTCTCAGCACAGTGTTTGCTCTCTTTCCTTTTGCAATAGTGCAACACCGTTAACTCATGGTCAGTATGTGGGCTGATAAAACACCACATCCATAGAGATGTGGCCCGAACAAGCTGGCAGTGTCAGCTCAAATGTGGCAGAAGTACAAGATAAACTTTGAAAAAGTACAATTGCTTAATGACTTAAAAATAGAACTGAAGCATCTTTTAAAGTTTTTATTACGTAAATGTTTTACTGTACTAAGCCAGACTTAGTTATTAGTCTAGGAGTCTCTTGATTAGTAGTTTGAATATTACAATTGATCTCTTAATAATTTTGAAGCCTATTTTTGGTTGTTTAACCTGAAGGAGAAGCAAATATAGAACATCCTTGCCGGGGCTGTCAGTCGATGTCCTGTAACACTGCGGCAGTGCCAACTGCAGCTGCTCCCGTGGCCCAGGTCCCTCCGGGTGCGAGGATGGGCCCTGTTGCCACCAGGAATCTCATCCAACCTCATCCAGGGAGCCTCATCCAGGGAGCCGTGGGCCCCGTGGTGCCCCAGGGTGACGGAGGGTGACAGAGAGGACCCAGCGTGGCTCTCCTCACAGGTGTGGGGCGAAGTGACTCGAGGCAGCATCGCAAGGTGCAACCGGGGACCATCCAGTCGGGAAGAAAGACAATATTCTTCACCAGAAGGGGAACAGGGTGCCTAGGGAGGCTGCAGCATTTCGGCCCTGGAGATGTCTGAAATTTGACTGGAAAAGGCCCTGGCAGCATCATCTCCCTTTAATGTTAGGCTGGCTTTGAGCAGCAACTCGGGTCAGATGGCCTGCAGACAAAATAGACCTTTCCAGTCTATTTTGTTCTGTGTTTTWTAAGTGCTACAGTACTAAGAGTGACGCATTTGTTCAACATACAGACATACCTACAGGAATGTCATGGTAACCACTAAAGGCTTTTCCTCCCCATGAATTCACCAAGTTTCTATGATCTTGCAGCTCTCTTTCTGCCCAGCTAGCACTACTTTCTGGCTCTTTTTCTACTTAGACTTATTTCCCTTTGGTCTGTGGGATTTTTACCCAGAAGAACTGTTTTTTGCAACCTAGCTTTACCTTTCTTTCAGGAACTTCTTCCTAGATACCTTAAATATAAATAAACTACTAATTTTCCTAATAAACTGGGGATAAACACCTTAAGAAGTCCCCAGCACTTTGGAATCAGATGCTGTATTCAGGGAAATACTAAAATTATTTCAGTATGATATGATATATGCATAAAACATATATGAATRTAATAAAACAGGATTAGTAAAAATGCCTGTTGCAACTTTTATTGGATGCAATGTGCAGTTCAGACATTGCAGAAAACACATTTTGTTGGATATACTGAAGCACTCTAAGGGATTTTATGCTTACAAATAGCAACTTCCATCACATCTCAAACATCTGTAAAGTTAGGGACATTTAAATGCAGAAAAATAAGTGGAAGTAGCTGCCTGGCCATAAAGTTATGGTTGGAAATCTCAAGTTAAACCAGTTCATTTGTGCTACAAATTATGCTTGTGGAAGAAGGAGAACTGAATCGTCCCAAAGCCCAGGRTCACACTTTGCACTTGCAGACCATGCTCTGCTCGTTGTAGTCATATAAGCTGCAGCACAAGGAAACACAGACGAACATGAACACACACGCAGACCCCTATGAGGGTGGCGTGTTC